TTAAGGTTAACAGGACAGCTAAACGTGATCTATGCATTTTATTAAAGAACTGCAAAAGCTAAAATAATGACTAAAAAGTAATTATGTAAAGGTTAAGCTGGCCACGTGTAACACAGAAATAAAGCTGAATCCACTTCATTCAGTTTGATCTACTTAGTGGCAATTCACAACAAAAGTTAACCTGGTTTGGCCACCAGGCTGACAGCCCAGCTTACAAGAACAAATAAACAGTTGAGCTGACAGTAACCCAGGTAAAAGGTAGTCATTGGATAAAACAGTCAAGGGGCTGAAATAGTTACTTTTTTAAGAATGCGACAAGAAGTACTTGTGTAAAATAACAGTAAACAGTTAAAATTTCACTGATGTATAGTCATCAGTAAAATTAAACTATGAAAAATAATTACATCCTGTTATTCTAACTATGGAGGAACTGATTCTAACTGTACTGTCTACACAAAAAAGAAAATCGTTATGACTCTTTCATGTGTTCTTACACAAAGCATCACAGAAAAGCCTTTCTGTCACATTCTTACTTTAGTATAAAACCAAAGAATTAAATTTATACAGGAAAAGTCTGGGATGCTTCCAGAATGAGCAGAAAGAAAGTGTGCAGGGAGGGCTGGATGACTGCAGGGGATTCCCAGAGCTCAGTCAGTGTGTGGGGGGGCGGCTTGGGAAGGAACAGCTCCTAGCAGTGTTGACTACTCCCCCATATTTCCTCTTACTAGATCTGAGCAGTTTTTTTTCTTATCAGCACTAAGATAGGTTTCATTTGTGTTTGCACATTACCCAGATGCAATTTGATATAATTTAAAACCATTATTCAGTTTTCTGCTTTAATCAAATGTCATACCCTGTCCATTAATTCTCACCTAACAAGGCTTCAGATATTTTTTTCATACTAACTCTTGTCTTGTGTGACCATTGGTACGTGTTTGCAGCAGTGCACCAGCAGGTGGCGCTACAGGGCTGCAGAACATTGCAGGGCTGGTCAGCTGAGCTTCCACAGTTGGGTCTGACAGACTGCCTGGATCTCCTGCCTTTCATCTGCAGGAGCAGCAGAGGTGAGCCTCACAGGCTGTACGCTGCAGAGGTCATGATGTGACCTTCCACCAGTTTAAGCCATTTACAGTTTTTTCTGAATGCTTAAACCCTAACTGTGATTCTTACAGCACAATTTCTAAAACTATTAATACTTATAGCAAAACCACTCACTGAGTGTGCAAAACTAAAAGCACAAACACTGCTTTGCACTCAGTTTGCCATTTTGTAACACACACTTTGCAAACCTGTAGCTACAATCCACTGCACAGCACTCTCTTTGCAGAACTGTAAACACAACTCACTGCTTTACACTCAATTCCCAAATGATCAACACACTCCTAGCAAAACTGTACACATTTACGGCCATTATTTACACTAATTTGCCAACTGTCTGGCACACTGCCACATGTGAAAACTTCTTTAGATAATTAGTTCACTTTGCAATCAGCCTAAGCACTATGATACAGGTAAGCTGTGTGTGTGGAGTACAATGGAGGGAGCAGGAAGAGTGAGAGGTAGAGGAGGCCGAGGAAGAGGACGTGGAGGTGAAGAAGTAGGACGAAGAGGACGACAAGGACAAGGAGGAGCAAGAGGAGGACAAGGAGGGGGGAGAGGAAGATGAGGAGGGGGGAGAGGAAGGGTAGGAAGAGTAAGAAATAGAATTGCTGATGACATCAGAGCTACAATAGTG